TGCGGGGTGGAGAATTAAATAAATTAAGATCACTGCAGTTGTAGATGCAACTTCTCCAAAACGAGATTCAAACCCTTAACCTCAGCAATACTGTTGCAGCACTCTACTATTATTCAGCTAACAAACCAACTGGGAGCTGGTCATTGAGTCAGTTCGTAATTATAAACCCTTGTAAGGATGAACATGTAACAATGAATATATAAAAATCATTATAGGAACTGTGGGGTGAGGAATAAAATGATCAAAGCAGTTCATCTTAGTTATTGACACAAAGTTGCATCTGTGACTGTGATTCCCCACCTCTCCCAACTGTGGGGAGTGTTTTTATTTTTAAAAAACGTAGGAAACTTAACTGGAATTTAATAAAGAGGGTGGGTGAAAACTAACAGCTGGATTATTGAACACGTTTGTATTAATAATACCTCTCATTTTGAGTGGAAGAGACTCTACCATGTAGATGTCTTCATTCTTATAGCGGGAGATAAAATCTTGAAGCTTGAAATGAAATGTGGCTAAGGATCTGTTTTCTTTTTTTTCCCCCTCCACTAGAAAACTTTATGCATCGCCTTAAAGCCACTTCCTGGCATTCTGCCTTTAAAACAATAGGCTCTCTTCTTCAGGATCAGTACTTGCAGCAAGCGAGACGCTTGTACGTTTCTGCTCTCATCTTGCAGATACTCTCTACCACCCACCCATAAAGGTTTACCTAGCAATCTGATCATTACACATCACGGCCGAGGTTCTGCCTGACCAGTTGGTCGGTTACCTTAGGCTTCAATGTGTTGCGACCACGACCATCTCATCAAAACTCTGAGTAGATGGTCTAGTGATGTGTATCAGATGTACATTTGCAGTCCAGTTGGCATCATTGTAGGCATAGCAAGTCAGCTCACATGACAAGTATTTTTTTTGTTTCCTAGCCCCCCAAACCTGGTCTACTAATTCATTTATACTTCACCCCAGTAGAATAGGGTGCCTTCGGGCTCTGGTAGTTTAGGGACAGGGGCTTCCCCCAGCTCTAAGCACTTTTTACCTCTCTCCAACCTGAGCCTGGTAAGCTAGGAGAGTCTCCCGGCTTGGAATGGGGGTTCATGGCTGGGTTGCGGGTATTTGCCAGTCATGGGGGCAGACTCTATCTAGGGGCTGGCTGGCCACAATGGAGGCCCCTGAACACCCCAAGCACCATTTAGCGAGGTAGCTGGTTGAATATTAGTCGGATGGAAAACTAAACAAAATTAACAGCCACGAGCTTAGCAGTCTCTGCTGGTCTGCAGTCCAAGTGTAGGCTCACAAGGAACGCTGTTGCTTTGTCACAGTCAGGATTGTCTAGTCTTTTCTTAAGTAGTTTTCATAGAGGCTGTGTTGGTTTTGAGCAGTTTTTAAGCAGTTGTTTCAGCATTCCCCAACCACCACACCTTCAATCTCTCTTTTCACTGATTCATAAGTGTGACAGGTGCATAGAATGGCGGCTTATAGCTGGGTTGTGGGGATTTGCCAGCCATAGAGAGCGGATTCTATCTAGGGGCTGGCTGGCCACAGTGGAGGCTCCTGGTACACTGACCTTTCAATATGCAAGGCAGCTGGTTAAATGGGGGTTAACAAAAGAAATTGTAAGCACTACCTACCTGGAGGGTATAAACAAACAGTCGCCTGGTTCCATAAGAACCTTGTAGTAGGGGATAGTCTGAAGGCCTGGGAATTTATACATGTCTACACTGTCCACATCAACAGTTGAGAATGCTCCTTCTACCTTGTCAATGTGTGCTTGTTCAAGATAAGACTGGAAAAAAAGAATAAAGAATAGGTACACGTCAAAAAGATGATCATATGTTCATCATTATCAATATATTAAAAAAAAATTATGAATGGAATTACAATCATTTGATTGCCCATTTTGGCAAGTAGGATCCCAAAAAAAACCTTGACAGTACAGAACTCTAAAACAGGCCAAGAAAGGAATTGTCAGTTTCTAGTAATAAACCAACATGGCACTTAAAGATGAAGTGTTGTTATGGAATAGAGCCCCTTCTCTTGCAGACATCATTAGCAGTAGATGACTACTAGAAACACTGAGGTATCGCCTTACTTAATTGTTGTCATGGAAGTAGCAATTAAATTATCATAGGCCCACTGTAAATCTGCACTTCCATTTGATAGGCTTAACAAACATATATCAGTTTAGGTTTGAAGCCTTTACACTGTCTAACATTACTATGTGATAAGCTGGTTCTTTAAAATGGTTGGTCATCATCATTTTATAGAGAAAATGTTCCTCAGTGAGAAAAGTGTCTAAGCTGAAGTGTGTCTCTAATAAATGCCAAAATTAACTGAACAGTTGTCACCTTGTTGATCATAAGTAACTCCTTCGTTCCATCAAACAGACAGTTTATGTTATCTACTGAATCAAAGTGAAGAACAGACTTGGTGCCTCCACTGCTAAACCAGACAACCGCATCCTGCAGGACTTCAGTATACCCACCACATCTTAAGCTCTTCAATAAGGCGTACTCCTCTAAAAAGTAAAATATTGTTAAGCTGGATTAAGAGAAATGTCTGGTTCTATCTCGCCTAGACTTTAATGATATAATATTCTATCCAATTACTGATTGCCTTTTAAAAAGGTTACAGCGCATCCAGTGTGTGCTAGCCAGTTTTGTTTTTGGATGCTATGTGAACAATATTGACTCTATCCTTAAGTTAGGCTGGTTGCCTATGAAAGAATGTAGAGAATGGCACATTCTAAAGGCCACGCACAAAGCTATATACTCTCATGATTGGACTAGAAACCTTCAGCTTGAGCAAGTAAGACATGCCAGAAATTTACGGTCATCAAGTACCATAAATTTAGTTATTCCCTATTCCTTGGACATGTTTCAGTATAGCGCGGCAGCCCTCTTCAATTCTCTGCCATCCAATGTTAAATAATAATTATTTTAAATCCTTCAGTAAGCAAACATTAGGTATTTTAAGGGAGCGCTGCCGGAATAGGGCGCAATAATTTCTTGCATAGTTTTAATTAATAATGTATATGTTGTGGTTCAATTTTATCCTTGGTTTAAATTTTACTTTCCTTTGTTTTGAGGTATGGTAATGTATGATAATGAGTTTGAAACAAAGGGAAATAAATTTAAACCAAGAATAAAATTGAACCACAACATATATATTGTATAATTATTTTTACTTTTTATTACCTAGCTTTTTTACAAATTCATAATTCAGATTTATGTATTTTTTCCTTTTAATTTCCTTATTTTAATCTTATATCAGGCGAAGAGCCATACCATGGATGTACTGATATTAAACCGTTATTACTACTGTTATTAGTACTGATATTAAACCATTATTAATATTATTATTATTATTATTTATTTAATATTTATTTTTTTGGGAGGTTTTTAGTCACTGGTCATGATGATGCACAATAATGTTTATCAAATTTAAAAAACATATATACTCTGGGACTGCGGGGTGGAGAATTAAATAAATTAAGATCACTGCAGTTGTAGATGCAACTTCTCCAAAACGAGATTCAAACCCTTAACCTCAGCAATACTGTTGCAGCACTCTACTATTATTCAGCTAACAAACCATCTGGGAGCTGGTCATTGAGTCAGTTCGTAATTATAAACCCTTGTAAGGATGAACATGTAACAATGAATATATAAAAATCATTATAGGAACTGTGGGGTGAGGAATAAAATGATCAAAGCAGTTCATCTTAGTTATTGACACAAAGTTGCATCTGTGACTGTGATTCCCCACCTCTCCCAACTGTGGGGAGTGTTTTTATTTTTTAAAAAAGGAAGGAAACTAAACTGGAATTTAATAAAGAGGATGGGTGAAAACTAACAGCTGGATTATTGAACACGTTTGTATTAATAATACCTCTCATTTTGAGTGGAAGAGACTCTACCATGTAGATGTCTTCATTCTTATAGCGGGAGATAAAATCTTGAAGCTTGAAATGAAATGTGGCTAAGGATCTGTTTTCTTTTTTCCCTTCTTCAACATCAATGCCCACTTCACCAAATCTCTCACTAACAAGAGAAAAAGAATATTCCATCTTTTAATGTTATTTTTGCTTACCAAAAAAATTATACTGACAAAGAAAAACACAAAGCGAGTAACCTGATCTTGTGTCTGAATAGCAAGGGACTGAAATTGCATTGGAAAGAGTTCTTGAATGAAAGGGTTGCCTCTTCCAATTCCAACTAATTTTAACACTCAAACCACAACCATATCAATAAATAATTTAGTCACGCAACTCAAACAGTACTGCAGCAGGATAAATACATGTTTAAAGACAATACAATAGCATTTTACCAGAGGCAAATAAATAATCCCCATTCAAACAACACCCTTAATTCTACAGCAAGAAATTCTCCTAGGGAGCTTTTGGAGAAAATTTGCATCTCAAAATATAATCACTATACCCCCTCAAAGGGGGTGTAGTGAAAAAATATTGGATAACCTCATTCACAGATGAAACTAAACCTGGTTAAGTCCTTCTACAAAACAGTGCTGAAATCTTGTTCGGGCCCCCACCTGTTTACACTGATTCCCCCGTTAAGAAAGCCATTGTCAATCTGCTAATCAGGATGAAAGGAAATTTGAAAATAACACACCTCATCCAGTATTTTGTTCAGTCCATTGGGGAAACAGAACGACGATCTCTACACTGCTAAGCAGACGCTACTAACCGAGGTTAAACTACAGTAGGTCTGCATTGCAGGCTAGCTGGAATTACAATGCTGCATATTTATAGACCTGAACTGATGATTTCCACTGATTAAACAGATACCACTGGGATGAGGATTAAAGTGTCACCAAGCAACAGCAACGTAATTAAAGACTCTTTAGACATTTAGCATATGGAGTATCTGCAGTTTTAATCATCAACATTGTGAAGCCCATTGGCAATATTTCAATATTTTTATTATTCTAAAACATAGATACTAGAATAATTTATTTTTGTATTCTAAATTTCAAGTCAGATTTTTACCATAGTTTTTTTTTGAATGCCATGATTTTTGTTGAACACTTAAGGCATGTTTTTGACAACACAAACGATACGTTTTTACATAAAGAAAGATTATAACAGTCTGATATAAAAACAATTTCCCTTTCATTTACAAAACCTACTGAACACAATACATCAGCAATCTGACCAATGAGGGAATACATTGTATAACATGAAACTCTTGCTTCATTTAACCCAGCCACATAATAGACCTTGTCACGGTTTTTGACGTCATCTTGACGAGTAGGCAAACATGTGAGAAACTACAGAGTTTATATGAGAATCTAATGTCGAATAATTTCCGTAAAACGGCTTTTCTGCAAAAAATATCAATTGCAAACTAAAGCTACAAAGCGAAGGATTGTCCTTAAACATTTTGGAGGCATACCTGTGTTTAAATTTTCCAGAGGCTTGCTTTAGATTTTCCATATATTTGTCTGTAATTTTTCCTGGGAATTTCTTACAGACAAATGTATAGAAAATTTAAAAAAGAGGTTCTAGGTCTTCTAGCGCATGTAACACGCTCAATTTTTTTCAGTAGAATCCTTAGGAGTGAACCTTTAGTTTACAATTCATATTTTTTTCAGAACAGCCAATCTACGGAAATTATTTGACATTAGATTCTCATACAAACACTGTAATTCTCATGCATTTGCCTACTCGTCAAGATGGCATCGGAAACCGTGACAAGGTCTATTTAAAAGAAAATTTGCAGTACAGAGAAAGATAGAAAAGCTAATTATCAATCTAATATCATGCACCTGTCACCAGCAATCATACATCAGCATGAATCATTCTGATCCAACAAGAGGGCTGACAGTTTGTAATCTTAAAGTATTACAATCTTTTTACAGATTGTCTGAATATTAATAGGGTCAAACATTTGGCTCGTTGATGCCTCCTGAAATTTTTGGTGNCGTCATCTTGACGAGTAGGCAAACATGTGAGAAACTACAGAGTTTATATGAGAATCTAATGTCGAATAATTTCCGTAAAACGGCTTTTCTGCAAAAAATATCAATTGCAAACTAAAGCTACAAAGCGAAGGATTGTCCTTAAACATTTTGGAGGCATACCTGTGTTTAAATTTTCCAGAGGCTTGCTTTAGATTTTCCATATATTTGTCTGTAATTTTTCCTGGGAATTTCTTACAGACAAATGTATAGAAAATTTAAAAAAGAGGTTCTAGGTCTTCTAGCGCATGTAACACGCTCAATTTTTTTCAGTAGAATCCTTAGGAGTGAACCTTTAGTTTACAATTCATATTTTTTTCAGAACAGCCAATCTACGGAAATTATTTGACATTAGATTCTCATACAAACACTGTAATTCTCATGCATTTGCCTACTCGTCAAGATGGCATCGGAAACCGTGACAAGGTCTATTTAAAAGAAAATTTGCAGTACAGAGAAAGATAGAAAAGCTAATTATCAATCTAATATCATGCACCTGTCACCAGCAATCATACATCAGCATGAATCATTCTGATCCAACAAGAGGGCTGACAGTTTGTAATCTTAAAGTATTACAATCTTTTTACAGATTGTCTGAATATTAATAGGGTCAAACATTTGGCTCGTTGATGCCTCCTGAAATTTTTGGTGCAGTACAGTAAGAATAATTGTATGTGGTAAACTCTTGAATTTCACTCTTTTTTCAAGACCAGCATTACATGTGGGGATCTGATATAATAGCTGCCCACAGGTGCAGATACAGATGCCATATGACATGCTAAGCCAAAGCCATATGCATATTAATTAACAAAAATTTGCCCAACTTTTGAATTTTTTTTTCTTTTTCTTCTTATCATTAAGCTTATTTTAATTTTTTTTGTACCTGTTAGTCACCAATATTTGTTTCTGTATTAAATCCACCAAAATGAATTGCTCTTGCAAGTTTAATATAAAAACACAGGAAATAAAATCTCCCATATTGTCTTCAAAGAAACCAATTTTACTCGATCACCACAGTTATCAGTATCAAACTTTTGAATTAATTAAGATACACTAAATATAAGAGTTTCAAAATTAAAGCTACCAGGAGACCCGTAGACGATCATAGGAAACCTAGCCATAGCAAAACAAAAACAATAAAAGCTTTATAACTATTATTCTGGCCGGTAGACTTAAAACGCCGCTATATATAATTTAAGTGATTTTAAAAAATAAAGAACAACACTCGCGTCGAAAGAAAAACATCTTTCAAAAAAACAAGCAAGACAGCTACTTGTCTCACCTCAAATAACCATCAGTCCATTTTGAATAAGCAGGCATGCTCTTTGCCGCTCTTCTTAAAAGTAAGGGTTTTCCAGGACGAACATTTTCCTCAAAGAATTCTTGAGGCCCTGGAACAACCTCTGAACTTTCTATTGATCCTGATGGCGGCTGATGAGACCCTAAAGGTTGTAAATGCCCTGGTGGGTGTTGAGATTCAAGAGGAGATAAAAAGCAAACGGAAAATAAACCTATTAGCAGCCGCATGTTCCTTCAAAACACAAGAAAAAGTACACGAACATGAACTTCCTTGAAATGGAACAACTTCGGCATTCGTCACAATTGACGAATGTTTATCGCCTGTGAGACAGCTGACCGACCAAAATCGACGAACAATCGATCGATCAGCGCTTGACGTCACGCAGTAAACAGGGACGCAGTTGTATAGCAACTCGGGTCCTAACATTTGTCCTCTCAATCATAGAATCGTTAATAGATTATTTTACTTTTCCTTTCATAACTTTCGAGTATTGCTTAATATAGGATTTGGTCGGCTTCCTTGTGCAAAGGCGGAGAGCGATTTATAAATCAGGGAATGAAACGATGCCGATTTGTGACTTGCTGTGAGCTGAACAAGCGGGGAAGACGCGGAGATCGAGGCCGATTGCTTATTTGTCTTGGAGTTGTTGGAATTCAGCTGTGATTTCTTGGAGTTTTTAAAGCTAAGGACTCTTAACTTAATCAAGACCAAAATGATGGCCACGCGAAATCCGAAGGTCGCTCCAAAGCGAAAACCTTCGAAGCCTCAAGCGCGCGAATCTACTCTATCCAAAGATCAAGGTGAGTTGAATCAGCAACTGACTTTTATATCTGGTAGACCGGCATGTGGTGTTCCACTTTCGCTGTTTGATTTGTAGCAGTGGGCGAAAATTAAGAACTTATTTGCTTGAGATGGTTGGTTGGATCATAACAAGTTCGTGTGTTTGTTCTGTTTCTTGAATTTAATAAGCTTAAATGCGATCTGCTGGGTAAGTTCAGTATAGTTTCGATTAGCTTCCACATACAGTACGTCAAATGTAGGTGGTTTAAGATTCTCCTCTGCCGCGTAGCAAAGTAACCTTAATGGTGAAACCTTAAAATATGTAAGGCAAAAGTTGTGATGCTTTGTCATGGACCTTTCAATGCCCACTAGGCACTAGTTTTGCAACAACAGCTGTATTTCTGAGGCAGCTATATTTTTGGATCCATGTACTGGTACATGCAGCTTGTGCATACCTAAGATCATGCATACCTAGGGCACTGCTTGGCCAAGTATTTCTTGACACTATCGACTGACACTCGCTCATCATGCAGTGGTGGTCTAGGCAGAGGCAAGTTAAGTCGGACATGTTGGTGGGCGCTCTGCACATGCTGATTAAAAGTTAAAACCAATGCTTTATATTGTAAATTTAAATGAGTCAAGTATTTCTTTTCTTTTCTTTTTTAATCTGTGATTTAATATTACCTTGGTTTAAAGTTTTGTCCTGCCTAGATTGGCATAATACAATGTAGCTATTTGTGGGGCATACAGTATATTGTAAAACTTAATCATTTTGTTAATAATTTACATTGTTGTTGTTGTTGTCATTGTTGCAGTGGAAAGTCGGTTACTTAGATGGCTTTCACAGTAATTATGTTGATCGACAGTTGACCAGTTGATATTTTAAATGGTGTATTGGCTGATGTTTTAAGTGAATGTTGGCCAACATATTGGGCAATACTCAATCCGTACATTGACTGGCAGAGAAGGTCGATTTATTGACATTAACCTGCATCAAACTATTGTGTCAGATAGTTTAAGACCCCATTCATATGAAGAAAACCTGTCCTGGGCAGAAGAGTAAACCTCTCAGCTGAACTTTAATGAGTGATCATGTGAAAAAAAAGTTGACCCCTTTGTCCGAGTTAATACTGGTTGCACATGTTTTGATTGTCTCACCTTGACTGAGTTGGGGAAAAGCTGGTCCAGCTAGGAGGGTGACCTGGCTACGTGTACACAGGTCACCCTTCTTGCCGAGCTAAGTTTTTGTATCTTGACATGTAAATAATTCACCATATTTGGTAAGGAAATGGGCAACTTGGGTAGGCAGGTGACTCTTTTATACGGGACGGCTTTTCTCTATATAAAAGGGGCCTAAAAAGACTTAACCATGCATAATCTGGTTAAGACTCAGTTACCCAAGATATGTGGCCATACTCACATTTTTTGTTAACGTGGTTAATTTTAATTAGATAATTGGAAATAACTTGGTTTAGCCCCCTAGTATGGCTGGGCAATGAAAAGTGAACTGTGAAAGTGACTTCCATGATCCCCATCTGAGGATCCTTTTTTGGCAAGCTGTGAAAGTGACTTTCTTTGTACCTTGCACTGGCAAAAGGAAGTTTAACTTGCTCTGTCATTTGAAAATGTTGGACTAGTGTTACAGTTTTGTTGAAACCTGTATTAAGCAGCATGGGTATCAGTTAGCCCCCAACTTTTCTTCCTATATTTTCTGTAATACAAACTTGTGTGAAGTTGACATCTGCATCAAAGTGATACTAACCAGGGTCTAGTAGATTTTGTAAACGCTGGTTTCTTTGTATTTGCCTTATTTCGTAGTGCCAATAATGTTATGTTGATTAATGTAACAGTATTTTTTAAAGTTTTGTGAACAAATACATGTGTTTCAGGCTGGACAGACACAGATGACACAGAAGGAACTAAAGAATCTGGCGAGTCTTCAGATCAAACTAAGGATTTGACTAACGTTGGACAAGCAATGAAAGGAAGTCTGATTTCCGTCAAAGAAGCAGATGAATCCAACAGAGAAGAAACTGGTGATGAAGCAAATCAGTCAGAAACAAATGGTGTCAGTCATGACAATCCACAGACAACAGATACAGAGGTCCAACAAACTACAGACACTGAGGGAGTTAATGGAACAGAAACGGATTCTCTGGGGAGCATGGAGAGTGGAACAAGACGGAGATTTAAACGGAATACAGTTGTACCCACTGATGCAGAGGATAGTGGCCGACAGACTGATCCAGAAGTGGAGTCTAGAAAAGGTATTATATTTTGTGAGATTGAATCCATTGCAAGTGTTGTGTGATCTCAACGGTCAGGTGATTGTAATCACTGATGAAGTTCAAGAGTTTCAGATGAAGTAGACAAAAAATTTAAACTAATTGCACCGAGCTATGAAACTCCATAATGGCCACCTTGGGGTCAGTAAAAAAGTGGCCATTATGGAGGAGGTGGCTGGTGTACGGAGGTTCAAACGAGAGTCAATGTAGGGACCGTCCGCATAAAAAAGTGGCTGATGTTTGGTGGTGGTCGTTGCTAAAGGTTCATTTGTATTAAAATGTAACAAGCTAAATGTTCTGGTGGATACATGTATGTTACAGGTCAAAAGTAAATTCATGTTAAAATTGTTTCACCTAGGTTGATTCTCAATTTCCTTTGTCTCCTAGCCCTAGTTCATGAATATTTAGGGTTAGAGAGAAAGGAAAATTATAGAGAATCAACCTGGGTGAAAAAATTTTAACGTGAATTTAATTTGGACCTGTAACAGCTATGGAATATTAAAAAATGAAATGATTTTGTTGGTCGTGACTTTTAAGTTACATGTATAAAATTTTTAAGATGCCTGGAGTGTTGCTGAAACTGATGCTGATGTAGAGTCTAATGCTGCATCAAGTCGACCAAGTTCTGCTCACCACAGAGCCAGGCAGCGTCCTGCCACTGCAGTTGCACGGCAAGTCACCCCTGCTGCCTCAATACCAAGACCTATGACGGCACCAGCTGTGGATTACCGGTCCCAAGTTCGACCTGGAACAACTGGAGCTTCACGTCCTAAATCTTCAGGATCCCGCCCAAGATCAAGGGGTGATGAAGAAAGGCTTAGTCGCCCTGCCTCATCTGCAGAGTCACCTCCACTGGCAATCACAAATGGGGTGAGATCTTGCTTAAGTTTGTAAACTTATGGATTGCACTAATTTTATTCGCTAACAAGTGCAACTGCATATAAAACATAGAGAGTTTACACTTGTTTTTGCAGCAACGTGTGGTTTGTAAGGCCTAAGCATTACAGAAGTATTAATTTTGGACTAATTTTTGTGTGTTACATATGTATTTATCTTTTAAAAAACTGTTCTTACAAATCTGTGTAATGCCTTTGTGTATTTGTTTACAAAGTAATTTTTTTTATAAAACAAATTATCATCCTCTAGCGTAAAGTTAGAATTTTATAAATGAAACTTCTGGTAAAGATCCCCTCTCGAACACAAGCATGTTTTTTTTTCCAATTTGCCTAAACCTTGTGCAAATCTGTTAATATCTGTGATGCTTCTACTTTTGTAGGAGGTAGTTCCCTGGGAGGAACCATCACCAGATTCCAGCATGGGAATGCAAGATAGGGGTAAGCATGCAAACTAGAAACCATGAAGGTACTTGTATGAGTAATTTGGCCGAAACTATATTGTATTATTCATATTATATTTTTGGGGAATGTTAGATAAGGGTAAGAGTTAGTAAGGGACTTTCAGGGATCTGTTATTCTGTGAAACTTTGATACCAAGAGTTACAAACCTACGTAAACTACTGCACCTTTTCACCCCGCCCCCCCCCAAAAAAAACAATCATTTGTCTGTGATTGTTGTTTTTCAAAACAATACAATAACCTTTATTTAACATGGTCAAATGTGCTTGGCTAAATAGCTACTTTACAGACATGCCACGAAAAATAAAGTAGAAAAAATAGTAAAAAAAGATGTGTATTCTCTTCAAAAACCTATATAATAAATTAATATTTACAATTATCAAAAATAATGTTATTAAAGCTAAGAGTAGATCATGCAATAATAATTATTATTTATGTTATGTTGTGAAGGCTAATAATTGAAATATATTTACATGATGGTATTTGCGCGTATAAAATGTTAATCAAACTGTGATGTCAATTTTATTAGTGGCACGTACTTGGTCAGGAAACGGAATAAGTTTAACATGTAGTTCAATTTCTTGTGTATTTCATGCAGAAAGCTCATCAAGTCGAAGCAGTGGTCTTCTGGCACCTCCTCAGCTTCAAGGAGAGCAGAATGCTTACATCCCATACATTTATGCTAAAGACTGCATTCAAAAGGTATGTCAACTATTTTTTATCCATCTTCAGGATGCATATTATTGCTGGTAACTCTCTTGCATTTTGTACTTAGATTCAGTCTGTTATTATTCAAGGATCAAGGGT